GGATGTGTGGCATGGCTAGGATTGAAGGGAGCTAATGAAAAGTTACTCGTCAAAAGAATATTGCGAACATTTATAGCTTCTGCCTCTGCCTTATTTATGGTGTAGAAACGATCTATCAAATTTCTTGAATAACAAGGGAGAACAGGCCAAGTTTGGCCAAAACCAAGTTGACGAACCAAAAATTGGGGAGCATATATTTCAACCCTAACTTTGGCATTAGTTTCAGTCAAAATATCATGGAACAACTCCCTCCCGGTCAAAAACTGAACCCAAATGAGCAGAGAGGTGCTCGCATTGTCCAGGGTAGATGGGGGGATGCATATAATTAGGAGTTAAAAAGGGAGGAAAAGGAAAGAAAGAAGGAATTGAATTCAAAGTATAAAAGAATGAAAAAATATCCCTTTTGGACATATGTACAGGGCTCAGTGTGTCAATAGCTAGCCCATAGCAACTAGCAGAATGAAGGGAAAGGGATAGAGCACCAAGTGATGGAAAATTGGCTCTCAACCACATTTGAGTGAACCAAAGAGGCTCACTGCTAGTGGGAGATGCACCATTCTTCAATTGGAATTGGAGAAAAGTCATGCCTCTATAGAGAGCGCCCAAAAAAAAAGAATACAAATTCAGAGGTCTACCACGCGCCAATTCGTGCGCTATGGGTAAATAGCTCATAGAAGGCTTCAGACTTGGCACACACAGAATATATTTACAAAGCCAAATCTGAAGAAAGGCCACACGCTCAACATGAGAAGGTGATAAGTGTGTTTTTACACACTTATTTAGCACTTTTTAGGACTTTATTATTGATAAAATTGAGTAGATTTCTATTTATAATTGTTACTTTTGTAGGCTAAAACCTCGGAAAGAAGTATAACGAGTGAAAAGAGAAGGAAAAAGACTTAAATTGAACAAAATTGTGAAGCTGAGGACTTGAAGTGCAATTATGGAAGGGCCTAAATGTAATAAAAGTCAAATTTTGAGGACCAAATTGCACTAAATGAAAGTTGAAGGACATGATCTGCAATTTCAAGATTTTTTGGTCAACCTTTTTATTATTTTATCCTTATTTTAAGTTAGATATTTTTAGGATATTTATGTTGTGTCTAATAATATCTTTTTTTTGTATTATATTTTATACATATTCCATATATATACTAATATAACTTGGTAGGTAAAAAAAAAAAGGTTCCCAACTCTTTCACTCTTCTCTCTATCTCTATCTCTCTCGGTCTCTCTCTCTTTTTCTTGGTTTTTTTTTCTTTTAGTTTTATTTTCTTTTGTTAATTTTAGTTTTATTTTGGGAATCAAGTGGATATAGCAAGGAGATCATTAAGGAAAGCTTGAAGAATACATTGAAGGAATTACAATTCGTATTTAAAAGGGTTTTATCTCAACTTTTGTATTCCTTTCATTTAGTTCTTCATTTCGTAATGATATGTTTATGAGAATCTCTTTGTTATTTTGTTAGAATGATGAACTAAATAAGTTTATGTTGGAATTTATGTATTAGCTTAACCTATTTTCATTAATATCGTGTTATAAGTTGTTAGATATGCATTTGTTATCAAAATATGTTTGTAATGATATGTTTATGAGAATCTCTTTGTTATTTTGTTAGAATGATGAACTAAACAAGTTTATGTTGGAATTTATGTATTAGCTTAACCTATTTTCATTAATATCGTGTTATATGTTGTTAGATATGCATTTGTTATCAAAATATTGGTGTATTAATTATCATGTTTAAGATTACTACATTTATTTGACGTCAATAGATGTTGTGGTTAGGTAGTTGTGTAATTATTAAAAAAGAGTTGCACATAATAGACTGAAATAATTAATACCATAGGTTTGTATGGTTTCGACTATACGCGTTTAGGTATCCAGACATGTATACCTACCCTATGTGACCCGTTGAGTTGTTTTCACAAAAATTGAATGCAGTTATTTGGTTTAGAACGACATAGAAATATGTTAATGCCAAGCAATTAGGGTTGATATCGCTCGGTTATTGACTAATTTTGGAAAATCGGGTCTAACCACATAGTTTGGTAATTTGCATCTACGCATAATTGGCTTGAAAAGGGTTAAGCGAAATCATAAATTCCAACATCTTTTAAAATCAAACTTTTCCGCTTTTTAAGTATTATTTAAGTATTTTAAATCAAAATCGAGTTTTCGCCTTTTTATAGTTTTTAAAATTGAACTTTTAAATGTGTGTATCTTTTTCGTTAATTTGAAACAAAAGAAGGCTCAGCGCTTGAGTGATTATAACAACTTTGCAGGCTTGAATAGGATTTGGTGAGTTTTTTGTCAAATTTTGAGGTAACACTAGAAATCAAAATACCAGGGAAAATGGTGTAGCCCAAAGGTGGCAGATTTACTAAGGCCCCGACATCCCTTAAAGTAATGGACATGGGACCAAGGGGGAAAACAAGAGTATTATACTCAGAAGACCAAAAACTTAAAGCAATAGGGAAAAACATTGGATCAAAAGTAGGGGGTTGTAGAGAGATTTCTAGCAAATCAGAAATCCTAGCACTATTAAAAATTGCCTTGGTAGGACCATGGTCCACAAGGCGAGCATGCCATCTACGAAAAACAACATCAGATTTAGGCCAAGTGCGAATACCTCTTTCGCGAAGCGGCCTCAGCGACAAAGAGTTTAGAAACGGAGGGCCTTGAGTACAAGGGAACAGCTGGCCCGTCACCACTTGTTCGACGGCCTCGGCGTTGATGAATGAAGGACCTAGATAGAACTCGTTGAGTTCGGCATTAGCTGGTGCAAGGAAGTTCAGAATTATATATGGCCGAGTGAGGAAGTCTTCGAAACTGAAAGAGTCACCAGATTGGGATTGTGAAGCAGCCATTAAGAACGAAATAAAGCTTTGTTGAAGTTTGCTTGAGAAACGTAGCAGAGAAGCAAGAAGATGAACAGTAATATTGCGAGAGAGAAGCGCGAAGCAATGAGGCGTGATTTAGTAGTGCGATGAAATGACGTATATTTGAGGGTTATAAGGGTTTGCAACGTCGCACCTTTTCAGGTTATGGAAGAAAATAATGATTAAAATTTTTGGAAATTTCAAATGATGCTGGGAAACACAAAGTGAATATGGCAAAAATTACTAATTGGTATTAATTCTGCCATATTGGGGGGTAATTGTTGACATGCTAAAAGTGCAACCCAATTCAAATAGCCCAAAAAATGAAGTCCAATTAGGCAATTCAGGATAAAGGCCCAAATAGGGTTATTAATGAATGTAGTGTAAGCCCACGAACGCGGTAACACCATCGCCCAAACTTACAAGACGCTCAGGATCTCAGCGAATGAAGTGCCTTGCAATTGCCCAGAGTTGTAACCCCATTTTCGCCCAAACCTTCGAATCGCCCAGGATTTTAGCAAACATAAGGTATTATGGTTATCCAAAAGTACAGTTATCGAATCGGTTATTGGATAATCTTATCACGTTCCATGATTCAAGAAATTTAGTTGAAGACGGTTGAACGACAAAGAGTGGTAGCAGTATCTAGAGACGACAGTTCCATGATAAGTTGGCCACTATGAAGAAAGTGGACAGTTATAAAGCAATTAAGCAGTTTCTAAACGGTTGATCACAAAGAGAGCATCAAGAAAATATAAAAGGAAGAAAAGACATAGAGCAAAAGACCCCGAATCAAACACTCTCAAACAGAGAATATGTAATTTCAATTTCTTAGTTTAGACTTAAAACATTTCTTTTTAGTACTCGTGTACTTGCGCTCCTTGGAGGCATTTCTGTTTAAGTTCCAATTGTAAAGTCATTGCCAATAAAACACCCTTTTTTGGGATTTTGTTTGAAGAGGTTTGTCCCTTACACAATCGTTTGATCCCTTTTTAATTGTTAGCGACTACCCGCGCGAAACACAATTGCTCGAAATTCAGCTACATTAACACCACAATCTGCTGCAGTGGTAGCAGGCCTGGATGACTCTACCATTGAATCCTAACAGAAGTAATTATTGGCGAAAGTCGATGCCTCCCGGGGCCTAATGGTGTCACTTGCTCAATATGCCTTATGGATTACAATCCGAAAGATACACTCAGATGCATACCTCAGTGTGAGCATTGCTTCCATTCTGAGTGCATTGATGAATGGTTGAGAAGAAATGGTACATGTCCACTCTGCAGAAATTCGCCTTCTACTCTAGGAATTTTTTTTATTTTTTTTCTGTTGTAAACCTGCATTCCTTTGTACAGTTGCCACTAGCTGGAACATAATTTTATCTGACATTCTCAGTTGTCATACTATATGATTATTGCTATCAGTATCGTTCATGTCCTTAGAGTCGAGTAGGCCAGGCTCAAACAAATATTTGTTGAATGAGGATAAATGTCTCATAGCAAGGACTTGTTTATTGGATAACCAACACAAGATAAGTATTTTCTCGATTATTGCTTTTAGATTCCCCCAACTCCCTATTATATATTAATAATGGAAAATTGCAATGAACGGAATTCTAGAGTCGGTGCATGTCTCTAAAGATCACTTACTCTAAAAATATATCTTCTTTGCCCACATTTGATTACAAAGAAGAGGCCGTCTCCGATCATGGGAGAGTCAAAGCCATATTTCTGGGACGTAATGTTTCAACCAGATTATCAGCTATCGACGTAGAAAATGAGTCGAATGTTTCAATCAGGACACTAGACCGGAACAACAAATATTCTAAATGCAGATTATAAAAATAAAAAATAAATTAAAAAAGAGAGATAATTTACAATCCCAAGATAAAATGTGTTGGAATAATCCTAGCTGCAATTCTTAAACAAATATTTAATTTTGGACAAATCAAGGGCTTTCTCGTTTGTCTTGTCTTTCATTTTTTAACCTGACATCCTTAAACCTTTTAGTTTTCTTGTTTGTGGGATGCCTACGAGGGATACATGTAAAGGTCCAAAGCATATGAACAGAGGCGTTTTTAGTTTAGGCTTGTAAATCCATAATCTATACCTGGAAGATATGAAAATCCTGGAACTCCACCTTCTTTCATTCAGTCGAAAATCGATTTTAAATTTTCTAATTTTCTTTTTCTTTTTCGTTTGCGCAGTCCATTCCAAGGATCAGTGTTCAACTTCCTCTTGCGGCGACGGCAGGGTCGATATAAAATATCCTTTCAACTTATCAGGCCAAAAACTGGAAAACTGTGAATACATCAATCTGAAGTGCGTTAATGAGAACATAACCAGTATAAATCTTCCTTATTCGGGAGAATTTTACGTGCAGGATATCTACTATGGTTTAAAAATAATACAGGTCTATGATCCAAGCAATTGCCTTCCGAGACGGCTTTTGAATCTGAATCTTTCGTCGTCCCTTTTAGGGGCCATAGAGTATCAGGAGTACACATTTTATAGCTGTCCACAAGATCTTCTCGAGTCCGATTTCACAGTTATTGATTGCCTAAGTAACTCCACGAGTGCTACAGTCGCTACTTCCTTCGCGTCTCGAGAATTGATGGAAGGAGAGTACATGTGCAAGCTAATGTTTACTTCATCAATCCCAGTCTCGCCGAGTCAATTGGATCCCTGGGGAAGTTTTAGTAATCTTCAGTTGGTATGGAACGACCTTTCTTGCAAAGATTGTGAAGGTAAATTTCATTCACAAGTTTCATTTGATAACATTTTCCATCATTTGTTTAGGGTTCTTGAAAAGCCGATTTGCACATAAGGGATGGATATTTGAGACACAAGTGTTTTCGATTAAGTCCTATTCTCAAATTCGAATAACAATAAGAAAGCAAGCAGAAATGACTATAGTGGTTCAATCTCGATGTCACAACTATTATTTTCTTGCCATTTCATGTCGAGAAAAAGTATACAATGAAAGATCCCACACTTCTTAGTATGTATACGAATGAAAACCGCCCCCTCACGTGCCTTTATGTACGTAGTCACTAACGGATTAGTATGAGAGACGAAGCTAGCACGGGTAGCCATCACTCGCCAGCTGCTGGATAGTAAAAAAAATAGTCACCTAACACATCATCACGAATGCCCATGCCCCTATAGTAGAAGAATTCACCTATATACTTGTACATTTCTTAGGAAATTGAGCGGCTCCCAGTCAAGAAATCAGTAAATGGTATAATTAGACTTCACATAGTCCAACAACAAGTACGCTTGGTGTGAGAGTCAATGATTAGGTTAGAAACTAAGGTGAATTTGTTGGAAGAACCATCTCGTGACTAACGTTGAGCTAAAATTTGAGTAGATCCCTCGAGTCATCTATGGTGGAACTAAGTCAAAACAAGTTTATAGGTAACAACTTCAGTTCAATGCCGTAAAAGAACTTTGGCGGTGCATTGACTAAACAAAACTTTTTCTTTCTTAATATTATCGAGTAGTCGTACCTGTAAAATTTTCAATTCATTGAATCTACAGGAACGGATGGATCAAGGAGTAAGCTATCGAAATTTCTTGCACTAGCCATCAGTATGCCAGGGATTGTCATAATCTCCACATTTTGCTGCTTAGCATCTTGCATGCAATTGTTCAACTTGGTAAGAGACAAATTTGGACTTTTTGGAACTGGAGCGCCACCACAAGCCAACATGTTTCCCAGCATAGTGCCGCCACAAGCCACAATGTTTCCTGGTGATGCACCGCCACAAACCACCAGTAGTGTACCAATAGGCCTTGATGACTCTAAAATTAAATCTTGTACAGAATTAGTAGTACTGAATGAAGGCCAAAGCATTTCAGGGTCTGAGAGTAATGCTTGCCCAATATGCTTAGAAGGGTACCGTCCAGAAGAGACAGTAAGGTGCATATCAGTTTGTAAACATGGATTTCACGCCAACTGCATCGAACAATGGCTAAGGAAGAACGGAACCTGTCCAGTTTGCAGGACGTTGGTTTCTGATGATGAACAAGTTGTCGCTCAAGACATATTAATTACAACCCATGTATCTTAGTTCCAAAGTATTGAAAATTTTAATTCAATTCTAGTATTGCTTATACTTTCCGTACGCTCGCCTCAAACAGAAATGTATGATGCAATGGAAACCTTCATTTGTTCTTCAAATTTCATGGTGACAATTAACGAGACCTTGAACGTATATTATCTAACAGAGAAATTAGTATAGGTGAGTAGAGCATTATTGAGACGTCACTAGATTCTTAAATTTCAATAGTAAATTTAGCAAAACTCTCACGTAAATTCAAAGTCTTTCTATATTTTTCATAAAAAAATTCTCCTAAATTTTTTATTTTTACAAAATTTATTCTAAAACAATGAGGCTCAAATTGGGGCTTTGATCGAACTCTCATTGTTTCCTTTTAGAGATTTGAAATGTTAAGATTTGGAAGAAGCTTTGATCGAACTGTGGGACCATTTATGCACACGGGAAAGTGTGGAGTTCAGATATTGTGACGTTGTTAAGGGCTTTTATTCAGTGCTTCGGGTGTAACACAGTCTCTGCGTATTACCATTGTAAGGATACACAATATGCTTAGAAGGGTACCGTCCAGAAGAGACAGTAAGGTGCATATCAGTTTGTAAACATGGATTTCACGCCAACTGCATCGAACAATGGCTAAGGAAGAACGGAACCTGTCCAGTTTGCAGGACGTTGGTTTCTGATGATGAACAAGTTGTCGCTCAAGACATATTAATTACAACCCATGTATCTTAGTTCCAAAGTATTGAAAATTTTAATTCAATTCTAGTATTGCTTATACTTTCCGTACGCTTGCCTCAAACAGAAATGTATGATGCAATGGAAACCTTCATTTGTTCTTCAAATTTCATGGTGACAATTATCGAGACCTTGAACGTATATTATCTAACAGAGAAATTAGTATAGGTGAGTAGAGCATTATTGAGACGTCACTAGATTCTTAAATTTCAGTAGTAAATTTAGCAAAACTCTCACGTAAATTCAAAGTCTTTCTATATTTTTCTAAAAAAATTCTCCAAAATTTTTTATTTTTACAAAATTTATTCTAAAACAATGAGGCTCAAATAGGGGCTTTGATCGAACTCTCATTGTTTCCTTTCAGAGATTTGAAATGTTAAGATTTGGAAGAAGCTTTGATCGAACTGTGGGACCATTTATGCACACGGGAAAGTGTGGAGTTCAGATATTGTGACGTTGTTAAGGGCTTTTTATTCAGTGCTTCGGGTGTAACACAGTCTCTGCGTATTATCATTGTAAGGATACGGTGATATACATATATTTAAGTAGAATTCGTCCTCCTCTTCTTTAATATTTATTATTATTATTATTTTTTTAAAATTATCTAGATTTATATATGCTTGATCATTTTACTGTCAAAAAGATTTAATATGTTTTTTGAAAAACTTACGTGACAATAAGATATAAAGTTTTTAACTAATATACTTAATTGTTTGTTCATTTTGATTGATAGTTTAAATAGTTGATACATTAAATAAAGCAAAAAAAATAACTTCACTTTGTAATTATGTTCGACCAACAAGGGCCATGGTTAGCATTTTTATTTTTTATTTTTCAATAAAATCCTCAAGAAAAATGCAAAAAAATTAAATAGCTAAGCCCGAGCTGGCGCAGCGTTGGGCCAGGATGGGCCCATGGTTAGGTCATCCCACTTTTGACATCTTTAAATCGGTCCCTGGTGTAACATAATAAAAAAATGTAGATATATGAGAGAACATGCCTTATAAGCTGGTGAAACATTACTCCAGCGCCCCAAAACAGAACATGCCTTCTTTGCCACAAATTACAAAAAAAGATTTACTATTGGGCCGGTCAAATTACACTTATTTGCAACTGAAAATTGCACTTAAGGAAAATCAACAAAATTCTCATCTTTAGTTGTGTTCCTTGCAAAAAAATTGGTATGCATTAGTTCAAGAATTTCCGGCAGTTTGGAGCTCCACATAAGCACGGAACTTTAACTTCATCGTGCCCGTCAGATTCAAACAAGTAATCGTACCTGTTTAGAAACATGAGGACAGAATATTAAAAAATCAAGCAATAGATACCAACTGCTCGATCAAAATTCAATTTTGGGAGTGGGGATAGGAATGCACAGAGATGACTAGTCTTACGTTAATTCTTCACCAGCTGAAACATCAATTTTAGCTACAAGAACTATTCGGCTATCTTCTTCACCCGTGCTCATTATTCTTGCGTAACAGCTGGGCATACACTGCAACAATGTGCACAAAGTTATATATGCACTGCCATAGTAAGTGAATATTGTACATAAATACAATATTTTGTGGACTCATTGATGTGGAAACTGCTAATTGTTTCTTCACTAACGAGCTAGGACCAATGAAATTTAACGTGTGCATTATGTATAAACGTGCCTTATAAGCTGCACATTTACTTTTCATCTCATACAAAACAGATAATGTTATGCTGGGATAAAATTCCTGGAAAAATAGATTCAATGCAGGGAAACTGAATAGAACTGATCCAATACAAGAATAATGGTCTTTTGTCCAAAATTTGGCTGGGACTTTTGCGACCAAAAATCACAACTTGACAACAGTTTTTATCCAAGCAAACAGAAATATACTAACAGAATACATTTTAAAGAAAGAAATAGATAAAAAGCATACCGAGTGATTGATCAAGCGGCCTATGTTCCCTTTATTTGTGGCATCAATTACTACTTCCTCACTTATCTTGAAAAACTGTAAGAGGATTGCATCAGATGAATAGACCGTCACATTCATATAACATGACTTAGATTGATATAAGGTGAAGACGGAGAAAATAACAAGTCTAAGACATTAGCATGAGAAAGCAAGGAAAACAATATTTTAATTTTAATTTTGCCTTCAATACACACCCCTCAGTCAGATTCAATTTTTTTAGTAAAGACCAGAAAATTTTTTATTTTTACAAAATTTATTCTAAAACAATGAGGCTCAAATAGGGGCTTTGATCGAACTCTCATTGTTTCCTTTCAGAGATTTGAAATGTTAAGATTTGGAAGAAGCTTTGATCGAACTGTGGGACCATTTATGCACACGGGAAAGTGTGGAGTTCAGATATTGTGACGTTGTTAAGGGCTTTTTATTCAGTGCTTCGGGTGTAACACAGTCTCTGCGTATTACCATTGTAAGGATACAGTGATATACATATATTTAAGTAGAATTCGTCCTCCTCTTCTTTAATATTTATTATTATTATTATTTTTTTAAAATTATCTAGATTTATATATGCTTGATCATTTTACTGTCAAAAAGATTTAATATGTTTTTTGAAAAACTTACGTGACAATAAGATATAAAGTTTTTAACTAATATACTTAATTGTTTGTTCATTTTGATTGATAGTTTAAATAGTTGATACATTAAATAAAGCAAAAAAAATAACTTCACTTTGTAATTATGTTCGACCAACAAGGGCCATGGTTAGCATTTTTATTTTTTATTTTTCAATAAAATCCTCAAGAAAAATGCAAAAAAATTAAATAGCTAAGCCCGAGCTGGCGCAGCGTTGGGCCAGGATGGGCCCATGGTTAGGTCAGCCCACTTTTGACATCTTTAAATCGGTCCCTGGTGTAACATAATAAAAAAATGTAGATATATGAGAGAACATGCCTTATAAGCTGGTGAAACATTACTCCAGCGCCCCAAAACAGAACATGCCTTCTTTGCCACAAATTACAAAAAAAGATTTACTATTGGGCCGGTCAAATTACACTTATTTGCAACTGAAAATTGCACTTAAGGAAAATCAACAAAATTCTCATCTTTAGTTGTGTTCCTTGCAAAAAAATTGGTATGCATTAGTTCAAGAATTTCCGGCAGTTTGGAGCTCCACATAAGCACGGAACTTTAACTTCATCGTGCCCGTCAGATTCAAACAAGTAATCGTACCTGTTTAGAAACATGAGGACAGAATATTAAAAAATCAAGCAATAGATACCAACTGCTCGATCAAAATTCAATTTTGGGAGTGGGGATAGGAATGCACAGAGATGACTAGTCTTACGTTAATTCTTCACCAGCTGAAACATCAATTTTAGCTACAAGAACTATTCGGCTATCTTCTTCACCCGTGCTCATTATTCTTGCGTAACAGCTGGGCATACACTGCAACAATGTGCACAAAGTTATATATGCACTGCCATAGTAAGTGAATATTGTACATAAATACAATATTTTGTGGACTCATTGATGTGGAAACTGCTAATTGTTTCTTCACTAACGAGCTAGGACCAATGAAATTTAACGTGTGCATTATGTATAAACGTGCCTTATAAGCTGCACATTTACTTTTCATCTCATACAAAACAGATAATGTTATGCTGGGATAAAATTCCTGGAAAAATAGATTCAATGCAGGGAAACTGAATAGAACTGATCCAATACAAGAATAATGGTCTTTTGTCCAAAATTTGGCTGGGACTTTTGCGACCAAAAATCACAACTTGACAACAGTTTTTATCCAAGCAAACAGAAATATACTAACAGAATACATTTTAAAGAAAGAAATAGATAAAAAGCATACCGAGTGATTGATCAAGCGGCCTATGTTCCCTTTATTTGTGGCATCAATTACTACTTCCTCACTTATCTTGAAAAACTGTAAGAGGATTGCATCAGATGAATAGACCGTCACATTCATATAACATGACTTAGATTGATATAAGGTGAAGACGGAGAAAATAACAAGTCTAAGACATTAGCATGAGAAAGCAAGGAAAACAATATTTTAATTTTAATTTTGCCTTCAATACACACCCCTCAGTCAGATTCAATTTTTTTAGTAAAGACCAGACGTTTCACAACTTTTCAAAAAATGGGTGGTGAAAAGACATAAATCCAGGACTTTTGCCTACTCTAATACTATATTGAACCTCCTCATCTAAAACTCAAGTTATAAGAGAGGGAGAAAAAACTTATTTATTTTAAATTTGTCTTCAATAAAGACTTATCAGAACATATGCACCCAAAGACAGACAATTTGATGAACCAAGCATGAGAAACACAAAGCTATAGGAGTCCCTGAAATGAAATTAGCAAAGGACCTCATTTGACGAGATGTAAATGTACATGTAAAGCTCCTCATGATGAGAATAAATCCTAGCCTATGTATATGGTGTACACTCAGAAAAGAGCGAACAAATAAGAATATAGAAAAGAGGGTCACATAGGATTAACTCACATAGCAATCTTTGCCTTCCGAACGATAGCGTGCCTCCCTCAGATCAGCAACACTGCGCCTCACCTTCTCACCTCGATACTCAAGAACCTGGTGAAAAAGTCAGCAGTAAAGGTCATAGTGCTTAAATAACATTAATTAAACAATAAGAAGAAAGTACACCAACACTCAATACTCTAACCACACTACCAAAAAGGAATTGTCATCAATCTATCTAGCATGTTCAAATCAGAAAAGAACCACCACCCCACCACCCAAAAAAAGGTACCATTTCTCCTTCTTGAATGTTCTGCCTTGCAAAGAGGCCCCATCCATGTATTCTTGATTTACCAAAGCAAACCCGATTTTTTTCTGTCCTCTGAAACATCACAGAAGAAATTGTTACTAGAACGTGCAACAAACAAGCAAGCCTGCGTGCGTGCATGCGCACTCAAGCACCGAGAAATACACATCCACAGAGTGAAAACCAAGAAACCAGCGCAAGCAAAACAAACTTAAATTACGCAGAAAAGTTATTTACCTGTAAATGGCTTAGTCGCTCTCTGAAGGTTGAGAAACAAGTTCCAACTTCAACTTGCTGAACAAAAACAGGGAAAGAAAGAAGCAAATTAGTCATCTGAGGTGCGTGCGTGCATGCGCACTCAAGCACCGAGAAATACACATCCACAGAGTGAAAACCAAGAAACCAGCGCAAGCAAAACAAACTTAAATTACGCAGAAAAGTTATTTACCTGTAAATGGCTTAGTCGCTCTCTGAAGGTTGAGAAACAAGTTCCAACTTCAACTTGCTGAACAAAAACAGGGAAAGAAAGAAGCAAATTAGTCATCTGAGAAGCAAAGATAAATAAATTTAATTAAGAATAATCAAATAAATAGATTGGAAATAAGTATTTGCTGTTGCATGTCAAAAATAAATAAGAATAGATAGAAATGAAAATTTCAGAAACAAGCAAAAGAAGGAAACTGATTACTTTGTGTAAAGTTAAACAATCTATAACATCAAAAGGATGATGGCTTGGCCCCATTGGTCGGTGGAATACTGACTCTTGTACAGCCCTCTGCTCAAAGGAAAGAGAGAAAGAGAGAGAAACACAATCAAATGAACAGGAGAGAAAAGAGCAATAAATTATCAACAAGAAAGGACCCTAAATAATAACAGGCAAACCAAAAAAGAAACGTGTGAAAATTTAATTTTACTGTTGAGGGTGCTTAGGAAGTGAAAAATAAGAAAATCAAGAATACTGCACCTTTCTGTTTGATCGTACGAAAATGCGACACCTTGCAGCAGACATGGGATCGATTTCATAAGTATCAGCAGCCAATGAATCAGAACATTCAGCAGTCCTACATGAGATGAGCCTCAAACCACCCAAGCACTGTTCTTGAATCTGATTTTGAAGTAAGCTTCCGGTCGAGAAAACCCCATTGGGAGTCTGTATGACTAGTACATTCTCCGCACTTGGCGTCCTAAGACAACAATCAAACTTTTGAAACTAGGCGATTAAAGATTAAAAATATTGGACTTCTTAGAAACTTCGAAACATATAAATGCAAAACTGAAAGTCAGCTAAGTTCGTATAACGTGGGCAATCTTTTCTATATTTAAAGGGGGGGAAAAATCCAATGCAGAAGAGCTATCCAGTAGATCCCTTGAACTTCATATTGAAGACCTTGATTATTGATATGAAATTTCTTTTAACACATATAGAATCTATAGTGACACCACTGCAAATGAAAGAAAAATGAAAAGAAAAAATAAGATGGGTGAAATAAAAACAAGTGGCACATTATCCATACCTATGAACAGCGCAATATGAGACCCATTTGGTAATCTGTGTACCGTACTTCTCCGCACAGTGCAACTGAAGTTCAGAATGGAAGTTACATGAATAAACAACTAAAAGGAGAAACGGAATGAAAGGCGTAAACATGGTTGTTTCTTGTGCTTGCAACTCTTTTTCTGAAAGTAGACGAGATAAAACATAAACATCATCCAACAAAATACAGCTATTAATGCAGAAAATCCTTAAAGGGTGAGATTGGGGTTCTTAATATTGCTTAAACTCAACCCTAATAAAAAAGGAATAGTAACAAGACTCATCCCTCAATTGGTAGGTGTTTGAATTATAAACACTTTTGGTCAAACCTATTTTTTATCCATACATTTCATAGGACTCACAAGTATTACCCACTTATCCATCACTCATTTTTGAAACCTAACAGAATGATTCCACAAAAAGAAACCCAGAGATATTTTTTCCTTTCGTATGAACCAATTTCCAGCCTCTTTTCTCTGTTAGAGAATAAGAAAATATCCCGAAAATTATTGCTCACTCTGTCACATTTACGAGTGATATACATTCAAGTAAACCAGAAGTAAATCTGCTGTCAAATGAAAAAGAAAGTCATACTAATAAGAAATCCTCCACCAAACTTATTTACAGGTGTTAAGCTGTATATGATTCTCCTCTCCATTTTTCTTTTCGTGTGATCTTGGGTCTAGCTGATGACCTGGTGTCTGTGAATATGGTTTAATGCTCTTATTGCGCTTTTGCACTCACTCTCAATGAAAGAGTTATGAGTGACATGCAACTTAATACAAACAATTTTAATCAATAAGGCCACTACTCAATCACATTACTATCGTACCATTCAGTATATAACTGGTAATACAGAAAATAAAAGAAACAGGAGTAGATACGTACTTCCATGCGATATCCAGCACGAAAAGCACACATTGCATGGAAATAGGTGGCACACTTGCAACACTGGGTGCAAGACCCATGAATCTGATTGCAAATAATGCACGCCTGCATATTTACAAAATATAAGGACTCCCGCAGATGCCAGAAAAAATAATTTGTCTTCTAGAAAGCTTATTTAAAACAAAACGATCGAACTACAAAAGTCAATTAACCCAAAATTTCGAACATTCATCATCATGCCAAGCCAACCACGAACCTTCATTTTCTTGTCAATTGTTAAACTTCAAAGTAGATCTTAGAGACATGCAAGGAAAAGAATCTGCAAGTGGCCAATACATGGGTATCCTCAGTCTAATTCTATGAACCACCTCATACCTTAGCAAAGAAACTTGCCGGAATTCGAAGAAGACCTGTTGCAGGCTCCATCATCTCTGCATTGGAAAAAGCGACTTCTGGCTGAAACCATGCACATGTAACATGAACCCATAAAGTTCCAACATCAGTTGGCTTTAATGCACCACCTACAGTAGCAGTACTTCATTACAAGAGACAAAATGCGATGAAAACACATACGTAACTATAGTAAACCATGTAAACAACTTGCCTTTTACAGGACAGAGACAACACTCTTTCTCAACCTCTGGTGTTTCGCATGCTCGACAGACCCATGAAGCAAAATCCTGAATATTTCTCGCTCCATAACATTCTTGATGTACAGCTATTTGACATCTGAACCACATTAAAAGAAGAGCTCAGTTTAACATTATGATGTGATAAAATCTAATATGTACCACATCATAAGTAATAGAATTTCATTTCAAATGACTGTACTATATGGAAGTACAAAATCCCAGATATTGACACCTGTTGCATATTATCATCTTGTTGTAGTCCCAATCTTCAATCCATCTACAAATAGCACAGCGTTCTGTAGTCCACTTTGTATAAACAGGTTCATAGTTTTCTGTCAAAGTGAATATGGAAAGAACACTGGTTCTTAATTGGTTATTTGTACCCACATGACAATACGAAGAGCAGAAATATGTAAAGGGACCACAACAAAACAAGAAACAACTACCTTGCAACAAACCAAACAGCTTGTTCTCATCCAAACGAAGAAGATCAAAGCCATGTGCATTGTACTCTACAATCTACAGCATCAAATGTAGTAAAGAACGTGAAGAAAACAGAAATATGAAAAAGTAACAATATAACTGGAGGAGATAAGAACAAGGGTGGACTTATAGTTTCTCATCACAAAAAAATTGGATCAAGGATAACGGAAAATACTAAGTAGAAAAAACTATATAACAGCAGAAATTTATACATTATCCATCTAGTCTTTCACAAAGAAGTAGCACAATGACAAAAAATTTTAGTTTCATTCAAATAAAGTTAGGTCTGCAAAATGGATCCTTTTCCACAGGGATAAATGTCATAAGACACTACACCATATTCAATAAATAAAATAGATAAGCGTCAAACGGAAAAAGGGAGAAATTGCAATGCAAGGAGGATGACTGCAGCAGGTCATCAATAGAAATTTTAATATATGGTTCTATAATGTATAGAATTTATTCATATTCTTACCAAAAGTAATTGGCCTTTCCAATCTTTAACTTATCTCTACATATAATAGAATAAGAATTTGATTATAAACTTCACTAAAATAAAAAAAATTTGGAACTTCCGATTCCAAAACTGAACGAAAAATGAAAATTCTAGATATATTTCAATGAAAATTTGAGTCCCTAGGAATGGATCTTACACAGATATCATTTCATATTTTTATTTTCAAGTAAAAATCTAGATTTTAGTTGTCAACAATGTTCCCTTCACTGACAGCATAACATAGAAACAAATAATATCTAATCAAGCAAAAGACAAAGAAACCATTGGTAAATGATGGAGGTTTAAAACTTAAAGATCCTGTACATACCCATTTTTCAAGTGTTAAATTTGAACCCTTCACCTTAACACTTGACTTCCATTTTTTTGCTCTAGAACCTGTATGTCGCTCCCATTCACTAAGCGATTGTTTCTTTGCCCCGCATGAACCACAACTACATTGAACCCTGAAATGGAGATCAAATTAGAAGTTTCTTTAAAAACCCAAAACAATATCAGCATTGCATCAAATATGGCAGCAACACTATAATGTTATGGTACTAATCTACTTTATTGTCCCTACTGAAGATGATGCAGGTTAATGTTTCTGTTCCTGAAGACATGTTTCTTCCAAATTTTATTTTTCTCTCGGAATTGCTGAGAACATAATGAGTCATAAATGAAGGCATCAATAGATATAGATCAGGCACAAATCAGGAAACTGCCTTGGAATAACCTTTTAACTTAAAAGAAAATGCAAAATGCAACAGATTACTCAAACCAATTATCACTAAGCATTTCTAATATTGAGTAGTGCAGATGTGGCATGTGTATCTTAGAAATTTTAAATAAAACTGGCAATTGAATGTTTCCTCCATAATAGAACTGTTAAATACTAAACCTATAGTTGAAGAAAAGCACGATTTTCAGGCAATGAAGCAATATCTTCTAATTAATTAATTAGATACGAAATTATTCAAAACCATGTTCTCTTATGCCAAGATAAATAATTAGACCCTGCCTTCCCCCCCCCCCCCCCCCCGTTCATTTTGGCACAAATGTTCCCTGATTTGAAGATGTTACACCAAAATATATGGAATTACGTTCAGTGCTCAAACAATTAAAATATTTTACAAGTTAATAATATTTGATAACCAATTAACTATCTTGGCTAAAAATAAGTGAAAATAAATATTTAGTATCAAACGGTTTCATTTCATTTTCCAGAAAAAATATTTCTACAATCCAACAATACAAGAGTCATATAAGTACTTGCAAGTTTATTACATTTATAAATCAAATAATATAATGATTTAACATTTCCAAGTTTTTTATCACGAGCAAAATACAGATCAACCAACTGAACAAGTTGGCATATTTGTTCATATTTAATCTGATACATGTAACTTAAATCTCAAATTGTTTCCACATAAAAACTAGAGTATGGTCGATATGAAAGTATGGTCCTTCCATATCATGTGACGGAAACATGCATTTAAAAGCACAAAAGGTTCCGACAAATTTATGTATTACAAGACTTCATAAACGCATTCTACATAAATAAGTTGAAGAACAATACCAATCTGTCTCTTTAACAATGATAAACTACTAAAGAGAAATGTATCTAGGTTTTTTAATTAAATCTCAAATATCACTGCCCACAAGCACGTGGCATATGTTTAGTCACTGTGAATGACAAGATCACTTATACAAAAGCTGAAATTTATTCTTCCAAATGTTGGTAGCATTGGTAATATGATGAAACTCAACTTAAAATAATATAACATATATATATGTATATATGTAAATATACACACACACACACACACACATACATATATACATATTTATATATATGTATATATATACATTTACACATATATACATATATACGTATATACGTATATGTATATATATACATATATGTATATATACATGTATATGTGTGTATATATACATTAAATCTATATTAAAGTGCTTGTGCAGATTAGTAGCATTGCTCATCGCCCATTAGATCCGGAAACTAACAATTTTTTAATTTTTTAGATTTCAAGTCTTACAGATGCAGACTTGAATGATAAACACCTTCCACACCATTGCAGACAACAGTGATCTTGTCAGACGGAAAATTTTGTCCAGGATTCTGGGCAGACCTGGTTGAAGCAACATGTAGAGAGTTGTACAAAATTAGAAAATAAGTATACCCTTACAAGCAGCATATAACACGAAGAAATGGTGTTCCAGAACTTACCTAACATCAAATTGCTGTTTACCCACAACTAAGAAATCAGCGGTAGATTTTGCTTTGCACTCTGGGCAGAAGTAATTCGCCTTCTCCAGATCCTATAAAAGACATGATAAGGTCATCACATATATATCATGCTGTCGATTATAAGTAAATGTGATAATAATATACACTTAGGCCATGTTTGAGCCCCATTTTTACCTTATTAAAATGAAAAATATGACCGTTATCCATCATATCAAGCCACTATTTTTGAATTTCTATCTCTTGTGTGGGATCCATAACGACTTTATTTTTCATTCTCATTCTACAAATAATGTGGCTCAAACGGGCTCTTAATATATAAAAAATGTAGTCAAACCTTTAAAAGTTCACTGGAAATGTTGGCACACTCAGCATGTACCCAAACATTACAACCATCACAGCATACCTACCCAAAGATTTCAAGGACAGAAAATGCCCCTGTTCAATTAATTTTTTGTTAAACAAGAAATACAAAGTAGATTAAAAATGAAATAATCTTACCCAACTTCCACCACGAGAATGGTGCCAGATTTGCTTGCATGCACCACAATATTGTTTTGATTTCCTTAACTAAAATAATAATTCAATCTTACAAATTAAAATATAATCATTTAAAAATAAAAATAACTAAGAAATAAGAAATCCATTAATATATAGATTGCAAAAGGAGAATTCTTTGACCTTAACACAGTGCTTGCACAAGAAATGTGTTTTTGCAGTTTTGCCCTTTATTTTCTTCATAGTTCTGCATGGAAAATTGAGTCCACAGCTTTCACAAGGGCGTGTGTCATATCTCTTGTCATTTGAATCCTGAGAAAGAAAATATATGGATAAAGTCAAGTTCCATTTCGAAAGAATCAAATTAATTATTTGAGATGCTCTCCAAAAATGATTGAACCAAAACTACCTCATTCAACACAATAATTAATCTCGAGGCAGTAATCAGAAACCTTCCAGTCATGTTTTCTCCCCACAAATTTATCATTCTATTGTAGTGCATGAATGAAAGTGCTTATAAGTTGTGGGTCCTATGAAATGTGTGGATAATTAATGGGTACTAAGATGTAGATCTTATGAAATGTGGGTAAATAAAGTATGAATTACATGCTTAAATTAAAATTTAAGGTTGACTGAACATTCACATAGTGTTGACATATCGCATATCCACAACAGTACTCTTGTTTATCCCAAGGTGATTATTTCCGTTGTTGCTGTTGATCATAACCTTAGAGGATGTAAAAGATCTCTTATCCAACCATATATCCACGACTCCCATGCCCCGAAAGTGAGAAAAACAAATATTTAGGAATATAGTAAAAAATGAAATCTACATAAGCAGTAGATAATAACAAAATTAGCATAAAAAAAGCGATACCATCTCTTTAGCTTGTAATCCACAAGTTCTGGCTATCAGTAACTTAATTAGTACAAATTTCAAGCACCATTAGTCAAGTGGAAAAGATGGTAGCGACCGAAAGTAAATTACCTTCTTCTAACATAAGAGTAATCCAATTTGATATTTAAGTAGAATATTTTGCAAATCTGTTCTGAAACGTAAGGTCTGAAACACAAACCACAAAAACCTAAGAAATCAATGGAATATCATAACAAGTACGAATGAGTTGAATTGTAACTTGCACTAGCACCATTTTAAAACATAACTAAATATTTATGTTATTCATGTTTAACGATAAAAAATCTAGCTTCATGAAAACTCACCTGCTTGATGAAATTATATTGTGACTCCTGATTTGACCCAGTCGCCTGTTCAATTTCACTGAATTTTGTCTCAGGTAAAGCTTCCTGCACAGTCTCCACCGAAGGATTTGTGTAGCCATTTTCAGCTAAAATAGCTTCCTCTATAGCCATATGGAAATCACTAGGTTTGCTGCCATACAACTTAGTCTGCCCCTGAAATCTGAACAACGAACATAATTAAAATCCCAATTCCAGTAACATGGAAAGGATTTGTCAAAATCCAAAATCATATGCACCTGTCCATATATTCGTGAAAGGGAAAAACCATTCCAGCTTTTATCCATGCATAATCCTGTATATAACAGTAAAAAGAAAAGCTTCCAATGTCACTATTGGCCAGAAAATCTAAGTGCCTTTGTTTGCGCATTTAAAAATGCTAACGACACTTAAAAGTGATGTCACAGTCATATCCATTGTAATTTTTAACTGCTCAAGGCATTCTTCAAATATTACCATATATGTATACCATACCATACAGGACTCAATAATATTTCATATCCAAAGAGCACGAATGCAAGTGCAAAAATGAGGAAGTTAATTACCCTCTGTCCCATCTTTGAATACCCATAAAACATCACACAGAGTGTGCCTCGAACACAAGCCCTCAGAACAGATTCAGGTGCTTGCCACAGCGGATCAATCACAATAGCAGGCCAAGCTGGGAAATTCTTACCACATTTAGCCCAAACTATATCCCCAAATACAAAATCTTCAGGCTGATAAAAATCAGCCTTCTTTACAGTCTCCTTCTCCTTGACCATCTTCTGCACTCCCACAAATCCATTCACCTCCCTCCTTGAGTATCCACTACTTTCCACCACTTGTGAAACACTAGAACATCCTTCATTAACTGATGTCACTGAACTCCGGGAACTCGAATACATTTTACTGTCAGAACAGTCTCTATACCCATATTTGGTGTTGGAGTGGGGTAATAAACTTGTATTATAAAATTGAAAGCCATTTTGATCTTCAATTTTCTGTTTTTTGACTAAATATATTTCATCATTGCAAAACTTTTGACGCTTTAGTTTCTTCTTACTATGATTTCCACTGTCCACATTATCTGTATCCAAAGTACTGCTTCCATAATCATCACTCTCAGATTTTTCTTTCTTCCATGAATGCAAAACTGAGTCATTGAATTTCGATGGTAGTACCTGTGTACGCCCTCTAGTAGACTTCAACAGAGGAGGCTTATTATTAAGACCTATCTGAGTCTGAGTTTGAGTCCGAATTTTAGTTTGGGGTATAGAGATCACTTCACCGATGTAGAAACTAGCTCCAGTGGGCAAATTGTTCTGGAAATTAATGTTGCACTCTTCAAATTGTTTTACAGGAACAGTGAAAAGCCCATCGGTTGTTTTCACGTTCTTGGAATTCACTGTGAAGCACGATTCCCCCTCATTCTCACCGGGGAAGTCTTCCTTATTCTCTGCTTTGCATCGCTTGAGGTTCGTTTCAAATTTCCTCATCTGTTTCGCGATCATTGTCCCTTATCAGATGAATTCAACCGAAAAGCTAAAAACCCTAACCCTCTTTCCAAAACAATTAAATTGAATAAAACAGGAAAAGTTATACAAATCGTCTCGAGCAAATTCACCCAATAACTCTCAGTACCACAGTTATACTTCTTCACGAACTTCCCTGGTAAGCCCAGTTTGAACCACGGAACAACAAAACCGACGAAACTGAAAACAGCCCAGGATTCTAACCATAAAATAAAAGAGTAATCTACAAAATCTCTTGGACCCTCAACAAAAATTAAAGATTTTTGTCCTCAGAAACGAAAAAACCATCAAAAATTGAACAAACCTATCGAGAAAACAGAAGATGGGAGAGATTTCGTGAATCGCAAAGAATAAAGTGCTTTGTATTCAACTTGTGCCAGATAAAAAACGGAATACATATACGCGTGTATAATATGTATACGTATATGTGTGTATGAATGCCTATGTCTAAATTTTAACGTAAGTACTAATCGAAAAATAGAAAAAATAAAAGGATTCGATTGAAATTTTGGGGTGATGTTTAGCTCCAAGATTGCAGCGAATTGGGAAATTTTGGGAGGGAGGAGAGAAAAGATGAGGGTAAGAGTGAGGGTGACGCGCCGACCCAAAAATATTTGAGCCGAGGTAGTATGAAAGTTTAGCGTTACCGGTGGTGAGGTTTTTCGTGTTTATATTACGTGTCCAGTTACAATCGGGTGTTTCAGGGACGTGGTTAGGATAGGTTTGTAGGTCCTCAAGTATTACTCACTACGTAATTACTTACTACGTAGAAGGAGCTAAAACTAGTAAGTTTTAAGGGAAAAGAAGTTAATTAATCTAATGTCTTACCCCTCGTTGGGCCCCATTTTGTGAAAATGAAAATAGTTGGAATAATGTGTTTTTGAAAAATGAGGGGTCACAAAAAAAAAAGAAAAAAATTTCGATTTACATGTAATATTATTTTATGAAAAATTGTACTGTTAAATATGAGGGAGAAAATTTTAATGGAATGAGAATTAATGGGGATCAAATAGGAACTTAGTCTACTCAAAAAGAGTAACATTTTACAGATAAGGGCTCCATTTGAGCCATACTAATGTAAGAATGATAATGAAAAATATAGCCGTTACGGGTCTCATACAAGAGATAAAAAGTCAAATATGATAACTTGATGTGATGGATAATGGTCATATTTTTCATTTTATTGGGCAAATAATGGGAAACAAACAGGGGCAAGATATGGCATATGTATAAAAATATAAATTTTCTCAAAAGATACAAAATAACTTATTAAGTCTTTATCTGAGACGCATTATTTTCATAAGAATGCATTTTTGAACGGTGTGTTAATGAAATATGTATTGTTAAAAAATACGAAAAAGTTTTGAATTTACGTGTAATATTATTTTATTGAAAAATGTGTGATAGAAATGATGTCAAAAAATGCAATGCATAAGTTGTCACTATTTTTTCTTTATACAATATTAGGATATGTGGTTGTTAGCAAACACGTAACATTTATTCAACACTAGTTCATACATCTCTTAACTCTATTGATACCTGATGACCCCAGGTTTCACGGGGTGCCTTTCTTCTTGGCACAGAAAGGGACACCGTGCGGCAGTAGTCTGCTCCGCTAGACTACCTTCCGCCTTTTCTCGGTCGCGTCGGGACGAAAGAAAATTTGATTGCAATTTTGTAGAAAGCTTACAATTGAGAATTTGAATACATCGAAAGTAAATTGAACATTGATTGCTGAAAACTGAACATTACAATTGATGAAAGCAGAAAATTACAAATGCTGGTGCAGGGGGCGGACACCAGTGAGTTTGAAAGATTTTTGAATGACTAATACCCCCTATAATAGCATTCTGAACAAAAACCCAAGTGACGGGAGTAGACGTTTAAAAGACGAGGAATCATACTAATCTTTTACCAATATCAGAGCTATTTTACAATTAAAATAACTATTACAATGAAACGAAAATTACAACTCAAACTTGAAGTAATATTTACAATGTGCAGTCGAAGTTGGGCAAACTACGGCTGCAATAGTGTCAAGGGGCTAAGTAAAGCTGCGGTCCTTGACACCAGGTCTTGTAAATCCCGAACTTGATCCATAAACCCTAGGGATGGCAATCGGGCTCGTCGGTTCGGGCCGCCCATGGCTCGGCTCGGGGCTCGGGGCTCGGTAGACCCAAGCCTAGGCTCGGGCCGAGCCCCATTTTGGGGACATGGGCTTTGCCCGAGCCGGCCCGTGAGCTCGCGAGATTTAAAAAAAAAATTCAAATGAAGCCTTAAAAGGCAGCAGTTTTGCTGCCTTTTAAAGGCAACAAATATGCTGCCTTTTAAGGCAGTAGATTAGAAGACTAATATAAATAAAAAAAAAAAGTGGAGAAGACGAGCCTGCCCGGCCCGTAAAAAGTCCGAGCTTATAAAAAAAAAGTGGAGAAAACGAGCCTGCCCGGTTCGGCCCGTAAAAAGTCGAGCAAAAGCTCGGGCCGAGCTTATTATTTAGCACGGCCCGGCTCGAGCCTGCAAAAAAGCTCGGCCATTTTAACCGAGCCGAAACTTTAGGCTCGCGAGCCAGCTCGGCCTAGCTCGTTTACATCCCTAATGAACCCCAAACTTGATATCTTCCAAAACCACCAAATCAAGGTCGGGCTTATGAGGTCGGGTTTGTATGTCCACTCCTCAGTCCTTCTTAATGACCTATGAGAGCACTAATTCTACTCAAACCATAATCCTGATCCTATTTGACTCTTTCTTCGACTCAAATAGTGGTTGAATACTTGGAATGAAACACTAACTCTTTATCCTACGAGGATAAGGATCACACATGGATAAGTCCTTCTAGGACTCTATCATTGGCACCTGTAAAAACATAACCCAAGCTCATTCTTGAGGTATGTTTTTCATTTTTTCCGGTTTATAGCCTCATGCACTAAATTCCCTATCTAACTTAAGCATCGGAGGGCCGACGAGCACACACCTCGTTGCCTTTGTTTCAGGTGTTCGAAGACCGTTCATGTTCACCTAAGTTTGGAGTTCGATCATCAAGTTCGAGATCTTTCAGGTACTATTTTTTGGTAGCATCATTGTGCCGTCTGTTGGAAACGCTACCAAAAGCCATGGTCAATAAACGGTCAGGTCTTCCTCCAACAAGCTCATCTGTCCCGGATAACCCTTCTCTTCCTGAGGAACGCCATGTCCCTCGAGAAGAATCTTCAGAGATGCCAGTACCTCTTCAAACTGTTGTTACCGTCGGAGCTTTTGAGGAACTTCGTCAGCAGGTCGCTGCATTAATCCAATTGTTGAGTCAAAGAAATTCGCACCTGTCACATTCCCCAACCCCGGAAGGTAGTTTTATGGCAGATGCCCTGGCTCAAGTTCAACGTACAGCTCATGATGATGGTGGGGTTGGAACTTCAGGAGCACCGAAAGTGGCTTCAGGTTCAAGGTTTGTTATAATGGAATATGCTAAACTTGCTAGAATTATTCAAGAAGGGATAGCAGCAGGTATACAACAAAATACTCGGGCAGTAGTAGGATTCACCCCCAATATGCCGTTCACTCCAGAAGTCCTCTTATATCCTCTCCCGGACAAGTTTAAGTATCCTCGGATAAAGGAGTACGATGGGACAATCGACCCCGTCAATCATCTCAATGTGTACACCGATATTATGAACTTACAGGTTGCACCAGATGTAGTAATGTGCAAGGCCTTCCCTCAAACCCTCACAAACGCAGCTAGAGATTGGTTTTTAACATTAGAACCCAACTCTATTGACTCATTCTTAGATTTGGCCGATAAGTTCTTCGCTTTCTTTGCAAGCAGCAGGCGAATCAGAAAGACAACCGCATCACTCATGCAGATGCGTCAAGGAACCAACGAGACACTGTGAAGTTTCATGACCAGGTTCAATAAAGAAAGGCTTCAGATCCCCGATCTACATATCACTACTGCAGTCTCAATTTTGACATACATCATTAAGTGTGAAGCATTCAAGATGTCCTAGTCTAAGACCCCACCAAAGTTAACCGAGCTACTCACACGAGCTGAGAACTACATCAATATGGAAGAAATCATAGCCCCAAAAAGAGAAGTTTGCTCATCAGGAAAGTCAGATCAGAAAAGGCCGCATGCGTCAAGTCTGAGACAGGATGTACCTCGGGTCAAGCCAAGGTAGGACCCCTCCTCAACATCCTTTACACGTTTGAACACCTCGAGGTCCGACATTCTGATGGAGATCAAGGATTCGAAGGAACTAAAGTGCCCTATCAGATTGCGGTCTCCACCCGATACTCGTGACAATAGTAAGTACTGTGATTTCCATAGAGATCATGGACATACAACGGAAGATTGTTTCGCCTTGAGGCGGGAGATTGAAGCTCTTATAAAAAGGGAATTTTTGGGCTCTAACATTAGTAATGACAAACGCCCAAGGAATAACCATAACAGAGACAGGGGCCAGAGGGTCACGGAAATGAGCAACCAACTGCAGGTATTATCAATATCATTGTCAGAAGAACAGCCTTGGGGGAGATTCTAGTAGCGGGCATAAACAATATGCCATACAGCCTCCAATCATAGCAAAATCAGATCTTCGTTCTACAGAGGACATCACTTTTTGAACGGGGGATTTCGAAGGCATAGCATTCCTCCATGATGATGCTCTGGTCATATCGGCCATCATCGCCAACTTTGAAGTTAAGAGAATTTTGGTAGACAACGAAAGTGCGGCTAATATACAATCTCATGAAGCCTTTGTTCAAATGGGGATCTCATCGGAACAGCTCAAACCAGTCAAAACACCTCTCCAAGGGTTTGAAGGTGGGGTCATCACCCCTGAAGGCGTCATCAGGTTGCCTTTAACACTATTGTCTCAACTTTCCACTTGGTTATGAAATTTCCTACAAGTAAGGAAATCAGGGTATTTCGAGGCAGCCAAACAGTGGCACGACAATGTTATGTGACTAGTGTTCGAAGAATCAAGAGCGACGTCATACAAGTTACAGAGCTCGAACACGAGAATCATGACAAATTGGCTCTAGTGGAAGGATTGGAAGAGGTCGAGATCGAGCCTGGTAGGAAAGTGACAATTGGATAGGAGTTGGATACAACAGTCATGGCTGAACTACTGAATTGTCTCTCCCGCAATATTGATGTATTCGCTTGGAATGTTGAGGACATGCCTGGAATTGACCCAGAGGTTGCGGTGCACAGACTTAATGTAAACCCGGAGACAAGACCTGTAAAGCAAAGGAAAATGCAGTTTGCACCAGAAAGACGAGAAGTCATAAAGGAAGAGATTGATAAACTTGTTAACACACAGTTCATTCGGGAAGTACAATATCCCGATTGGCTTGCTAACGTAGTTCTTATCAAGAAAGGTAATGGGAAGTGGCGAGTCTGCATTAACTTCACGGATCTGAATAAAGCATGTCCCAAAGATAATTATCCTCTACCTCGGATAGACAATCTTGTGGACAGCACGTCAGGCCATATGTTGTAAGCTTCTTGGATGCTTTTTCAGGGTATCACCAAATACTTATGGCGGAAGAAGATCAAGAGAAGACCTCATTTATGACAGACTCAGCCATCTATTGTTACAGGGTCATGCCCTTTGGACTAAAGAATGCTGGAGTAACGTATCAAAGGTTTGT